ATCTATATAACATACTTCAACGAAAAGAAGCTGGAAAAAAGTTACGAGGGATGGTAAAATTAAATTCCGAATAACTCGAAAAGCTTATACTTTTTTGTTGATATTGTAATAAGATGTTTGAAATTTATTTAAATTTCCTAAAAAATGAAGAAAGTTTCATCGAAATCAAAGCACTATTAGTAGAGATATCGCGGTTTTTAAATATTTTTGGTTGATTATTTTCAATAATCAACCATTGTGATCGATCAAAAAATTCAAAAACTCAACCCCTTCTCAAAATTTTCACGTTTCAGAACGCGTATAATTCGAAAAACGAATAAAATATGTCAAAGATAAAATTAAAAAATATGAGTAAAAACTAAAAAATGTCGTAAATCGAGAATTTTTGGGAAAAGTTAAGATTTTATGACAAACTCATGAAAAATTTAGAATTTTCAATTTAAAAAAATGGACGAAGCCATCATTAAAGTACGGATACAAAGCCTACAAATTATATAAAAAACATTTTTTTTTAATAATAAAAAAAAACCTTACTCGTCAGAAAACCTTAATAATATAAATTAAAAGTTGTTTGGGGTTTATAAAATTGTTGGCTAAGAAGTTTCAGTGAATATAGTAATCTCCCCCCTCCTCCCCTATAATTGAGATAGAACGACGCTCATGTTTTTTCCAAAACAGTAAGATCCCACACTAAATAGCATCTTAAAGTGGTTTCTTTCCTTATCTCATCGTTCCTAAACAGTTATCCTTCATAATAAATCTTTTTCTTCCCTTCGATTAACACAAGAGGTTCCTCAGGGTTCATCACTCTCTTTAACCCTTTCTTCTGTTTTTACATTAACCTTCTTCCAAACTCCATTTACCACTTATATACTGATACTTTTCAAATGTATCATTCCTTCCATCTAACCGAGAAGCTTAAAACAATCCTAAAATTAATGGAAGATATTTATATTGTCAACAGATAGGCAGTAAAGGATGAACTAAGCCTGAATGTTAAAACAACTAAGGTCATTATTATCGGTTCCAGGCACTCTCCTTTACCATCCTCTACTTTATCCAAATAATCGACTCATTCGGTTTGACTTGAGTGTAAAAAAATCTGATGGATCCACTCACACGACTTTTCTACCTATTTCAGAAAACTTTTTATATCTTCACATTTGTCCATCAAGAAACAAAAATAAATTGAATTAGATATATTCCTGAAAATTTATCAAAGAAAAGATATGAGTACAATTTATTTGATAAACTAAAGCAATGTAAATCGGTTTAAGGTAGATCAGTGTAAAAATGTCAATACCCTCTAATATTGCTGTTTCTGTTAAAAGTAAAGGAAACAGTGAAGCTTGTGTGATGGAGGCAACAGATTTTTTTACTTTCACTTAGTTATCTTTTTTCTCTCATTCACCCCTTTCTGACACCAGGATATGTACTCGTAATCTTACATTGAAAATTGAATAGCTGTAACTTCGTTAATAGTTGTCCGAATTTTTGTATAGTTTTGCAGGAAATTTCATTACCTTTAAAAAAAAAACAGGCTCAGGAGCTCTGAAACGTATAGATCCGTCGAAAACCGTATATTGGAAATTTGACCCGATCGCAATACTTTCCTTACCTAGTATAGGTAGGAAAGTAAAAAGCATGTAGTTATCTTCGATTAGCAGCTTTCTTAGAATAAACATATTTTATAGAACAAGTGAAAATATTGGATTCATCCGAGCAGAAAAAAAAATCGATATATCAGGTTTCACTATTTTTAATCTTTAAAAATTAGAGATACAAAAAATATTTCGTTCCTATATGTTTTTAATCGTTACAATAAAAGGAAGAGGATTAATGTCGAATTTTAAATAAATAAAAATTGAAAAAACAGTACAACTAATTTTTATATATTACTTCTCAGAAGCGTTGGTTTTCGCTAGTCCAATGATTGACCCCTGATTTTGAAGATCTCCTTCAGGTGGAAAAATAGTCACGTTCTCTCGAAAGTTTTAGAGAAAAAAGTTATGAATAAAAAGAAACCTTATTTGCGAATAACTCAAAAAATATAATTTCTTTTTTTCTCGATTATATCCATGAATATTTGAAAGATTAAATTTAGTAAGTTCTCTAAAATACAAACAAAATCTTTGAAATAGATTAGAACTTTGTGAATTTCTATCCCGATCAACCAAAGGAGCAAAGTGGGTTCATATAAAGTTTTAAGAAGAAAGAGAGTTAAGTTTGTATTTGGCACCAGAAAAAAACTAAAATACAAATTTTCATAGCAATCGAAAAATAATTTTTTTTTTCACCCAATCGAAGCCAAGGCTTTTTTTTTTCTCTTCCTTGGAACTCGTCCCTCTCCCCTTGGATTTTTTTTTTTTTTCGAAAAACACAAAAAGATTATACCCTTTGTAATTTATCATTATTTTTATTATTTATTTATTTATATGATATTTACAACTCTATACAAAAAAATACATCTGGTAAATTCGCACATAGATATAATGACATGGAACACATGTTGAGAAGCTACCCATTGGTAGCACTCTAATAATATGTCTATATTAGAAGATCACGTGGCCATCTTCTTTTCAGACGACTCGGAGGGTTATCAGGAATCGCAAAGGAAGCAAGGTTAGAGACAAGAGGGTTGGGATGGTTATGAAGTTTATTATGGAAGGACAGATATCTGGATTGGGCCAAATCTGATACATAAGGAACATTAAGATCATTATGGATAATTTTATTTGTAACAAAGTAAGGAGCATTGAGAATTTTACGAAGGATTTTGGATTGTAAGGATTGTATGCGAGAGGAGTTTGAAGGTTTGGTGGAGCCCCATAGCTCAACTCCGTAAGTCCAAATAGGCCTTATTATAGTCATGTAAATGAGTCTTTTATAATTGATTGGAAGGTTAGAGCGTTTGCCTAGTAAGTGTTGAAGTAGTCGGAAACGTCGAGCTGTTTCTTGTCGTTTCAGTCCGGTATGAGGATTCCAAGTTAGACGTTTGTCCAGATGGAGTCCTAGGTAACGGATTTGTTCAACAGGAATAAGTGAGGTGTTGTTAAAGGATACTGAAGGACAGGAACCTTGGTAATTTTAAAGGACTTTTTTCTTTACTTGCATTTTGGAGACATAATGGCTGTGTGTTTTGGAATTATAAATTCTAATTATAACCTATGATTTAAAAGATTACTATTCGAAGATTACTATCAATCAATCTTTATTTGTTTTAAGGGAAGAACCCTATACAAATGGAGTCTATCACAAAATAACAAACATTATTATCCTTTTTATGCTACATAACAGACATTACAACACTCTTAAGCATAAATTATATTCGGTAATTATCAATTAATATAAAATCTAAAATTGTCAACAATATACATAAAACAATAAATACACATTTAAAAAAAAAATATTAATAATAAAGTATGCTTTAAAATTAAATTAAAACATTCTCATATACCTAAAAAAAAAAAAAAAAAATACTATTCGAAGATTACTATATTCGAACCATTATGAGGTGAGATACAGCCTATTGTAATTCATAAATATTTAGACTTAGAACATGAAGGAAGTTTTATAGTAGTTTTTTTTTTTTTTTTTTTTTTCTTGATTGATTACAATTATCGAAAAAATAGTGAATGATTCCTTCATCTTGTCATACGTTGAATTATTTCTTTCTTTATTATTTTGTCTTTAGAGTGCTACCAGTGGGTAGTTTCTCACCAAATGATTTCATGTTATTATATTCTATTGTACACATTTACTGAATGTATTTTTACTTGTAATACAGTTGTAAATATCATTAATAAATAAATAAATAATAAAAAAATTATTTTGTCATTTGTTCACTGACCAATATTCTTTGAGAAGTATTCGATTGAACCAACTAGTAATTATATAATATTACAGTCAATTAACTGATGACTACTATTTTATGTATGGCGTTCTAACCTTCGCCCCCCCCCCATCTCTCCTCTCTAATATTTCCTAATGCTATTTAAGTTAATGAGAGATCGTTAGAAACAAGAAATAAATAAAATAACCATATTACGATTTTTAAGAACCATTTTTTGTTACCAGTTGACTTCAACACATAAATCGAGTGGGTTTTAAATTTTTAGTTACCATGCCCATTTATTGGACATCAAATTGAAGACAAGAATGGATAAAGGTGTTATGTTACAAAAATAAAATTTTAAGAAAATTACAAATAAAGTTTTCTATTTATAAGAAGCTTTCTAAAGACATAATTTTCATTGTATACTTTAAGAAATTATGCAATTAACAAAGAATCATAGTTATGTTCCAGGAGCATAACATTCGTAAGAAAAAAATAGTTTCCAAACATTTGTTACATATCACCTTCTTCCACTCATTTCTTCGATTATTTTCCAACATTTGGAGAAATGTTTGTTTAAGAATATATAATAATTATTAGAAAAGAAAGGAATTAGTTTACCTGATTCAGATTAGCACTACGCTCACCAGAATATTAATGGCGCGAAAAAAATAACATTAAAATAAAACATTGTATTACATTGAAATGAATTTAAATCAGTTATAAGATTTTTAACTAAGATCAAAATAATAATTTGGATAGTGTAATTACTTTTTACTTAAATTAAATAGATGTTATATATACAAACTGAGCAAGGCATGCTCTTAAATTCTTATACAATATTCACTAGCTCGTTTTGTTCATTTTTATAGAAGAAAGAAATATTTTTTTCAATTTATAATATTTTTTTTTGAAATTTTTATGAAAAATATAATTTTATATCTTTCTGAGGATTGATATTTTTATTTATACTAAAAATGTCATTTAATTGATATTCTCAGTCATTTATTTCATGTTTTAGAAGATTAATTAATAATGTAAATTTTTTTTCTGGTCTCCTACTACCATAAAAAATTCCCCACTACCACTAACTCCTTCAAAACATCACAACAGCTGAAGGTTGAGTTGAAGTGAGTGTAGGTTCTCGCAAGGTTAGTCTGTCCTCAAAACTCACTCCGTAATTTCCTGAAACTTAAAACGGGAATTAAATAGTCTGAAGTTCGTTTAAAATGTCTTAAATTCATAAAATTATAATGGCTTCCAAAAAGACTTTACAAATTTTCCTAAACAGATTTTTAAGGGAAGAGATAACTTCCAGAAGAGCATATTCTCTTCTTTCTCCTGTTCAACGAAATTCCAGAGTAAGTTACGATATTTACTTCGGTTTATACTTTAAATTGTGCTTACATTGAGTTCATTGTGATTTTTTTTTTTTCAAATAGTGTCTATTCATTTGTGAATCTGACCATTCATCTAACAAGAGGTATTATCAAAAAATCAGCCATGAACCACCACCTTCAAAACCTTTTACGAAATTTCTCCACATTTTTATTGGAGCTGGATTTTTATCATTTTTTATAGATTGGGAGAAGTAAGTATTTATTATGTTTTATAGTATTATAGTATGTATTAATATCACTGTTGAAGGTTTGTTTTCTATGTTCAGGGTTGACATTCTTAATTTTTATCTAGATTCTTTGTATTTTTATTTTGTTATAAAATGCATTTTTACATAATCAGTCTATGTTCACTACTTGTTGACATAAAGTTTCTGTCACTTTCATATGCTGAAGTACAGAGCTTTCATAATTGATCTCTTTTATTCATTTATGGAGATCTCTTTTTAACAGCATGTTGCATTGGGTCTTATTTATTTATTGTACTGTTTTATGTTTCTGTTTGATTATGCTGTGGTACTAGTTCTGTTTCACTATTCCAAGATGTTGTTTGATATCAAGATCACCCAGAGCAGGGTGTTTCCAGATTTCCAAAACTATCCGAATATGTTGAAAAATAATAGAGTTGCATGCAGATAACTGGAAAATAATAGCCTAAGATTTGAGGAGATTAAGAATTCTGGTTAAGGTGACAAAAGATTTACAATGTTAAGTCTGTTAAGCCAACAGAAAAAAAAAAATTGTTCTTTTTATTTATTCTTAATAATTTTACTCACAATAGGGGTAATCACGTAACTCCTGTTAAGTCCTTAATGTATGATGGTACCGTACCAACTGTAACAAGAGTCTTGGTGAATTATTCCTCTGTACTAACTTGCTAAAGTAATATTAGTTATAGTTATTCGAAATCTCTGCTCACAATAACTTAAATTTTGCTTGTTTATTTTAATGTTTAAGAGGATATTTTTGTTATTTGAACACGATTTATTGCCTGAGGTGGCAACGATGAATTTATAAGGAATTTGAAAAAATAAATCCTCCAACTTCATGGAATTGTCTAAACAATAATAGGTTTTCGTTCTCGTTTGTTCAATGTTTTCCAGATTCAATCCGTATTTTTTTTTATGTCCTTTACTTACAGAATTCCTTCTTTATCATCTATCTTAGTGTCATGTACAGCATGGAGGAACCTTATTGATCCAATGTTGCCAGGCATCACGGCGCCCATAGAGCTCTTTCCTTTGTTAGCGTGTTTTCCCTTTTTTTCCTCCAATCCTCTGATTGTACTCCTGGTAAAAAATTCTTGGCCTCCTACCAGTGTTTGCGGCTTCTAACACTTTTTTAGGATCTTGATCCTCACTCATCAGGCAAACATGGCTAAACCATCTGAGCTGTCGTTTCTCTAAGGTTGTTTTTAATGCTCAGATTTTAAGCTCTTCCTTAATTGTTTCATCTCTAACATGGTCTCTTCTATTTTTTCTTGAAATTCTCTATTATTAACTCCTTTGAGCTCCAGTAATTTGGCCAATCATGATCAAGTATAACTTGATTGAGTAGAGAGGTACTCTGACTTGTACATTCCATTAAGTAGAAGATTACGGTATCATCTTTCAATATATGCATAGTTACTAGTATACCTCAGTGAGAACTCTCATATTAGGTAGCTAACATTCTTCCTTAAGGCATTCGACTTATAAAGGATATCAGTGAAATATATTTATTCGTACCTGCAGTATCATATTATCAAGATTGTCTATTCAACATTCAAAATTGATAAAGTTTTTTACTTTACCATAACTGTTGAAGTAACAATTTATTTAATAAGTGATTAGCTTGTCCCATTGCAAAATATCGCTCCAGTTTAATAGTTGAGCAATAAGACAGGTCTTTCTAAACTTATACTAATCCATTATTGTACTCAATCAAAATCTGTTTTTGTGAGGTATATAAGATCCTTTGTTTGTAGTTTTCTCACCTACCAGGAGTTTAGAAGCCATATCTGGATATTATTTTTATTTATTAAAAATATCAAAAAGTTTCTATACCATCTGAAATGCCCAAGGGTTCATACAGATATTATCCTCCACTAATTTTTTAAATAAATTTTTAGTTCTTCAAAGACTATCATAAATATCAATATTTTACTTTTTAAAACCTAAACATTTGATAAGTCTGGTCCTATAGCAACCAGAGTACCTAAGACGCTTTCGACAAGAATTAAGATTTATCGGGAAAACTAAATGTTTGGGCTTTAAACCACAGGGTCGAATATAGTCCCAAAGGTCCTATACTGAGTCTTGAAGTCCTCGTTAAAATGTTTAAAACACGTTCATTGTAGATCCTCCGACTTTTGTAAAAAACTGAGTTTTGAAATCTCCTAATTTTTCTAGTGATATTCATTGTAGTTTTAGTAAGGTTTCAAGTTTTGAATTTGTTATTCGTCAATCCATGATATTTCCTTTTGTCTGATACCTCATTCTTCAACATGCTTGTCTGAAAAGGGATCTATACATTATATATAGATCCATACAGAGATCTAAGTATTATATATAGTGTATAAATGAAGATATTTTGTTATTAATATTAAGGGTTAGAGAAAAAACATAATGTGAGATTCAAATTACTAATAGTGTCACATGAATATGCACTCAGGCTGCCTACTAATTGAGGTTGAACATTAATTAATTAAATTAGATCTGTCTTTATTGTTATATTCAAATACTAATAATACTTCATGCAAAATTCATCAATTTAACTTTCCATATATATTTAGATTTTCTCTGTTGTAAACTTCATATGATTTTATGAATTTATATTTCAGTTAATGCCAATAAATTGTTTTAAAATTTTAGGGTATTTAATGACCTTTTCCCAAGTGTTGATGCTGCTGAGGTATTGGAAACAAGCCATCGTCATAAACAAAAAAGTAGAGATCAAAAAGAATTAGATGGCGAAGAAGGGCTTAAAAAAAAAGAGAAAAAGAAGAAAGAAAAAGTTGGTTTCCGAGATCGAAAGGTGATTTTTTTCCTCTACGTGTATCATAAATTTCACTTGAATATTATTCATATTTTCTATTACTTTTTATTCTAAATATTATTTAGATATAAATATTTCATGTTTGACAGTGTTTTATGATTTGATGAATTTTATTATTATTAATTATTGTTAATCGTTGTAAGCAGATCATCGAATATGAAAATCGTATAAGGATGTTCTCCACACCGGATAAGATATTCCGTTATTTCGCTACAATAAAAATCACAACCCCAGACTGGTCCGAGATCTATATGACCCCAATAGATCTGATAAGATCAATCACACCAAACTATCAGCAACCCGAGGGTAATATTGTGTTGCGTTGTGGTGTTTGTTTCAGGATGGAGGTTAACATTATTTAGAATTTTTTTTTTAATCAATGATGGGACTTAACATTTTTATTGGGTTTTTATTATATAGAAATACCTTTCAGCTTTGCATGACTCAATAATGCTTTTTGTTTTTAATTTTAATTAATTTTTTTTTTTGCAAACATCACCAGAAGCTATTGACTATATGACAAGGGGAAAATGTTCAAGCTTAATGTCTTTTTTGTTTTTTTTTATTAAAAATTGTTTTGATAAATTTTTCATCGTGAGAAATGACTAATTAACATTAATTCTATCTCCGTTATTTGTTATTGTACAAATATCCCTTAGTAAAACAGGAACACTTAGCAATCATTCAATGCATTTATGATATTGATACCTTATTGGAATAGACATTGTGTTTTAAATGTTAACTGAATAAAACTAATATGCAATTAAGTGAAATGATTTATTAAAATTCAGTTTTATACTTCTTGTTTTTTCTCTAAGAAATTTGTTCACTGCGAAACCTCCATTATTCAAAGTTGTATCAATCTTGTATTTAGAAAAGAAAGAGGAGGCATTTAAAGGATTTAAATATAAAACTAAAATGCTGGTTAGATTTTAAAATTCTTAGTTATTGCTAATTATGTTAATGTTTTTCATTATGTTCTTATCTGTTTATTACAAATTGCTAAAGTGGTTATTCATTATTTGGTTTTATGTTCTGTGTTCTGGCATTAATTTTGACTATGAAATTAGCTGTAACAATATATATTATTTTTTTTAAATAATGTTCTTTGCTCCATTTTGGTTCTTAATGAGAACCAGTAATTATCATTCCAGTAAATTTTCTGTTGATAAAACGTCTATGGCTTTTATCAGAATGAGATTTGTAGCAAATAATTCCTAGGTGACTGCCGAATATTAAATTATCCAATCTTGAGTCTAGAGGTATCAGTTGGTGAATTCCGTTGCCTTGTTACTTATGCTTGTTGGGTTGCTTACTGTTATGCTTAGTGGTAGGTAACATCTGGGATCAGCTGAAAATTCCAATGAGAATCCCATTCTAAATTTCCGGAATTAATATTTGAACAAGAAATTATTAATGGAAGAAACATTTTCATTTTATAACCTAGGAAGGAAAATAATACCTCAACAACCCATGAAGGTTCTTGGATTCAGTACTTTGTCAGAAACTACTGTTTTTTTTACCAACAGTAGATTTAGCCGTTAAATCTTATTATTGGCTTATGCTCAACTGCCAGGCTTTTCCCTCTTAACTAATTAATCAAGAGGATCAACTTTATAAAGGCTCGGTGTGTTCCAGTAGAGTCCCCTGACATCAGGATCAATTCATTTCTGGTTTAACAGAATAAGTAATCATTGGTTACCTTCAGACTCGGCCTGAAACAATAGGAGCATAGTGCCTTACTTGTTGAGCTTACTCACTGGCTCCACACGTCTTTGTGACTCTTGGCCTTATATTCTTCCTCTGGCACAATTCTTGGCAGCGTTCCTCCAATTTATGGCATCCTACTTTGCAGCATCTTTTACTACCTTATCCTTCCAGTGGCTTCTCTGTCTGCCTCGTTTTCTCTATTTTTCAACGATTGCCATGTGCAGCATCTTCTTCTGCAGCCTCTCTTCCTTCATTCTAGCAATATGACATGCCCATCGTAGTCTATCTGCTTTTAAATAATTAACTATATCATGATTTTTCAGAGTATTTCTGTATTATTTTCAGTCCTCCATTTTCCATAAATCTTTACCATATATCATCTCACAATTCATTGACAACTTACAACTTATTGAGATACTCAACCGCATTTCCTTTTATAAACATTTTTTTTTTTTGGTCCTCCTCGTCTTTTAGGATATATAGGGTTTTCCTGCGCCATGGAGTGATGGCAGAGGATTAATGCCAGAGTTAAAATCCCTCCCCCCCCCCTGCACTGGAACACGAACTCATAATCATTTTTATCACATTATCTGTGATCTAGGTTGACAGGCAACGGGGGGTGCTGTGCACATGGATTAGTCCGCTCAGCCATCCCACCCCTTCTCTTTTATAATCCAGTTACCCAATCAATGTAAAGAGAATTATTAATATTTTTTAATCACAAAAACAACATTCTATTTTTCATGTTTCTATATTTTCCCAGTATGATTCTTCCCTGCTAATTCACAGTATAGACCTCTTTTTATCAAATGTAAAACTCTGTAATTGGCTTCATTTCATTGTAACCTACAACTTTTTTGTATATGAGAATTATCAAAAATGGGACATCTTCTAATTAAATTAATGAGCTACTAATAATTCATGAATACCATTTTGCTCCCACTTAAATCGTTAGATAATTTGATCACAATATTGAGAAAAATATGGCCTACAATAATGTTAAGCCATTTGTCATCTTTTTTTTCAATTTTGTGATGAAATTATGTTATTATTCAAGTAGAAAGCAAATTGCAAATGCAAAAAAGCAAGGGTGCTCAAGACTTTTTAGTACCACATTACCTCATTTTTAACTTTTTACACCTCATTTCCGAGAATTTTCATAAACAAAAAAGTTACAATAAATTGAAGCCATTCACAGAATTTAATTCAAGTGTTAATAATGGTAATAAGTGGTCTGAACAGCGGACTATCCTTTACCTCTGTTAACCAAGGTTTTACTGTACTTAGTATTAAAAAGTATGTATTTAAAAAAAAAAAAAAATCTGAAAACCTTTTTTTCTTTTAAAGGTGTATTTAAACTCAGCATAACATAACCTTATTCTAATAATGGTGTGACGCTTACTAATCCTCGATTTGGCTCTTTTACTTTTGCAATAGATAATTGAATACGAAAACCGAATTCGACACTTCTCGACGCCAGATAAAGTGTTTCGCTATTTCGCTACTCTTCAAGTGATCGGACCCAATGAGGTTCATGAGGTGTACATGACTCCTGATGACTTCCTGCGGTCCATGACACCAGGGATCAAACAGCCAGATGGTATGGTCATCTGGTAACTTTTGAATGTAATCTTTATTTGTTTTATTATTTTGCCTCTTTCTCTCTATTTTTTTTCCTTTTTTTATTTAGTTAGTTTTCAACAAAAGCTTTGAAAAATGATTTCTGTATATACGAATTTCTATTATCAAAACCGTAATGCATTAACATTTTCATAATTTCAGAAACCTCTATGAATGTTGAGATTAATTGTATTGGAAAGTACTACTAAAAAATGTGGTCAGGTTCTATAAAATATTAATTTAATAAAAATTATGTATTTACCTGCATGTTTATTATGTAATAATAATAAAAAATAAGAATAAATACTGATTTTATTTAATAGATATGTAAAGTATACATTGGGCATTGAATAAAGGTCGCTTCTTCTCTTTCATTCTATTCCCGTTCTCCCACTCTTTCAATAATTGGCCAGGGTGTAGTATCGTTAAAGTATGGACAAAATCCTAAGCTCAGCACTAATCCATTGATGGATTTCCAATGCTCATCAATTATGTTTGTGCTCAGTTTAGGATTTTGCCCACATCTGCATTGATGAGTTTAATAACAGCTTGATGAATTTCCAATGCTCATCAGTGATCTCAGTGTTCAGTTTATGAACATTTCTTATACACAGTGAAGTCAAAGCAATTTTAATATTAACATAGCTAATTTGGTAAACTGTCTCTACTAATCTTATTTGTTTCATATGTTCATATTATATTTCAGAAAATAAATTTTCTGTCTCTAATGCTGGTTAGGGAGTTAGGAGTAGAATGCTTAACCCGTTGTAAAATATATACCGCTGTTGTAAAAAATTAAATAACTTTTAAGTTAATTGAATTGCTTGAAAAATTTAAAGTAATGTATAGTAGCCTTATAAAAATATTTAAAATAAAAATCTGTACTACTATAGCCAATGTAGGTTCTTGGGTTCAATATTTTGTGAGGAACTACTGCGGTCAATACGATTGTGTAAGGAGATTTGAGTTAGATCACACTATTTTTTCATCCTAATTATTTAATGAAGAGTATGCGAATCATAGAGTCTGGTAATAATATTTTAATTTTTATATTAATAAAAACAGACTTAGATTTTTTTTTTGTATTTTGCTTCTTTTTCTTTTTTTTGTTGACTATCATTAATTACAAAGCAAGACAGATATTTAAAGGCAAATGATAGTGATTTTCTTACTCAACGTAAAACCCTGAAATTGTTTCACTGATTTTTTTTTTTAGTTTGGGCATAAATATTTCTGTCCTAAAAAATGTTAATCCATTACTTTTGGCATAAAACTCGACCAGAATCAAATAGGAAGTGTTGTTTCTTTTTTATCTTTTTTTTTTTAACATTAGCATGGCATGATTATAATGTACTATTAATTAATAGGTAAGTTGGTGTGCTTGAGGTGCCCTCGTCATGTAGTAAGCTTCTTTTTTCTTTGTCTCACATATTTATTATTATAATAAAATTATACTAATCCAGCACATTATTTATTTTACATTAAACTCATTGTCCATATAAACTATAATTTTCACATTGCCTATTAATTCCGATTTATTGATGATTTTGTAATTGAAATTTTTGTATATATATTTTTTTTTTCAATTTGATAGAATACCTGTTATCTGATAGCTCAGTTGCTTATTAATTGTCAAAAATCTTAGGAATATCCATTCAAATTGTGAAAACAAAAATAAGTGTTAGCAAAAATAATCATATATAAGGTTGTCATATGAGTCCATCATTATATTTTTTACTAATTGATCAGTGTGCATCAAGTTTAATTAGTGAAAATCTATTTATATCAATTTTATAGATTGTTATTCATCATTATCATGATTATGATTCTACATCATTAAATAATTTTACAGAGATGGACATATAACTGACTGTTGGAATTGTAAGGATGAAAAATGGTTAGAATGTGCAGTCAAAAAATCATGTTAAGTTTGTCGACTTTTCAACCCTATCATGTGGAGGTAGGTGGGTCATCATCACGGCAATGATTTGAAGAAATAACAAGAATTAAGCGTGTATGGATATCGTACGGTTTGGATGGGAGGTGTGACTTCCACCTCCTATCCAAGCCGTATGATATCTACACGCACTCAGTTCTTGTTTTGACTTCAAACCGTTGGCACAGATAATGATACACATGCTTGGATTGAAGGGTTGGCAAACTTAATAAACATAATTTTTGACTCCACATTAGAACTTACTTTACTCGAAACAGGGGGGAATAAGACCTAAGGGTATAGTCTGAAAAGTTTCCGACCGCAAAGTGATGATAAAAGCAAGTGAATTTCGTTGTTCATCTGTTGACAGGTACCCACCAAAGTTTCAGCCATTTTGGACACCCAGTTTTTATGTGACAGTCGTTTGAGTAAGTTGATGTGAGTGTTTTTGTGAAAATGGACAAAATCAAGTATCGAGCTGTCATTAAATATTTTTTTGGAAGGCAATATGCCTACGCAAATCCAAGATGAGTTGGATTCTGTGTATGGGGACTCTGCACAATCGTTTACCACAGTGAAGCTACTTTTGGGCAGCTGAATTTAAACGTGGCCGTAAGAGCTTGGAAGATGATGAACGTTCGGGACGCCCAAAAATTGCAACTAGTGACGAAAATATCGCTAAAATTCACCAAATGGTGCTAGACGACTGCCGAATTAAAGTGAGAGAGGTAGCAGTGGTTATGAACATGTTAAAAAAACATGTTTCTTACATATTAAATCAACATTTAGATATGTGAAAGCTATCCACACATTGGGTGCCGCGTTTGCTCACCTTAGACCAAAAATGTGTTCGAATGCACATTTCCAATGCTTTGTTGGCACAGTTTAGGTTCAATAAATCCGAGTTTTGCTGCCGATTAATTACTGTAGATGAAACTTGGATACCCCATTATCCGCCTAAAACAAAATGCAGTCCAAACAGCAGTGGACTGCAAAGGGGAAACCGGCTCATAAAAAGCAAAAACTTTTCTGGGCTGGGAAAGTGATGGCAACTGTTGTGTGGGGTAGCCATGGAGTTATTTGAATCGACTATCTTCAAAAAGGAAAAACCATTACAGAAGCATACTATGCATCATTACTTGACAAGCTAAAGGCAGAACTTGTGTAAAAACAGCCACATTTGCAATAAAAAAAAATCCTGTTTCACCAAGTCAATGAACCGTCTCACACCTCAGCGGTTGCCATAACGAAAATCTACAAATTACAGTTTAAACTGCTTAACCATCCACCTTACCAGATCTAGCTCCAAGCGACTTCTTTTTGTCGTCTATCGCAATATCTAAAAATTGGGCTCAGAGGACAGATTTTCGTTAAATGAAGAGGAAATCAGCAGAGAAAAACGCTGAGTACTTTTTGGACGGGTTGCAGAGATGGGAGAAGTGTATAGAGTTACATGGAGACTGTGTTAAAAAATAAAAAAAAATTTCAGAAAAATGTCGTACTTTTGTTAGATCGGAAATTTTTCAGACCACCCTCGTGGGTGCTAATATTGATCAGAAGCGGTGTTCATTCTGAATCTAGTTAATGAATCAAAATAAAATTAACATGAATATACTGAATTAATTAAAGTATTAATGAAATATAAAGTAAAAGGTACATGTCATGGATGTTGATGAAGGATGCCAAATTATATAAATTGAGATTAATATGTTAGTAATAATTTATTGGAAATGGTACTTGAGAGATTGATGATGATGATGATGATGAAGGTGAAGTACTAGTGCAGATATATATGAGGGTGTAGAAACCTTAAAGTTGCCCATCGAGAGGCTGATGTTAGAATATATCTGGATACAGCAATATGTGTTGCCATCAATGCTGACTCTTTCTGGGCCACTTCTTGAGCTTTGTGTCTAGCTAAACATATTATTTTTTCTGTGGTGAGTCATGGAGTCCATTTTTTCAGGCTCTGTTATTCCTTGACCACCCTGTTCTAGATCCTCCAGCTAAGACTCTGGTGGATCTCTGTTGCTCATCTATACTGATAGATGGCGCTGCTTAAATTAGATCCTTCTGTACTTTACTCACATCCTAACCATTTTTCATCCTTAAATAATTTTATGTGTTTTACTTATTATTTAAGTGATTTACTTGTATTAATGAGTGTATCATTAATATCATTCACAGTTGTTATTTGGCAATTAGAAATTATTTATACTCTTTTTACTACAGCCATACTTCTTTCATTGACATTTTATTCTTGCTGCTTATAATTTTTTTTTAATGCACTCATTACAAATCAAGAATTAACTTATATTAGTTCATTAAACTGATAATCATATTGAATATAATTATCCATAAAAACATTTTTTCTTTTTGGTTTTATATATATAGGTATTCCTCACTTTGTGACCTAGTTGTATTCCAACGGTATGATCCTTAAGCTAATTGGTTGGCAATCGAGGAAATACCCCTGTGAATACAGTATCATTATAAAAAGTATACACAACAAATTTCGTATTATTCCCAAAATACGACCTATGTCTCATTTTCAAACTTAAACGATAAAAATTTCTTCATTTGCTGAAATGGATGGTTAAAGATCTTTTCACTACATAATTATTATGGTTTTAAATCCAAAAAAAATTTCAACACCTCTTTCACTCTAATTTTATCCTTTAAAATCATTAAAATTGTCAAATTCACCAATTCAAATGTTACCGTTAGTCGAGTCATAGGTCAAAGGAAGCTCGATTGCTAATTAGGCAAATAGGTTGTAAATTGAGGAATCCTTGCATGCATATTTTTTTTTTTTGTTATTCATCAAGGTTGTTATATAAATTTTCATTTTTTTTTTCCAGGTTTAGGACTTGATCAGTACAAACGATACGATCCAAAGGTATGTGATGAGATATTTTTTCAATTTAGAAATTTTATATTATTTCAATTTTTTCACTATTAATCTTCTTGGCATTAAAAATACTATATTTTTTCAGACTTTTCACAAAAATTTTATATTTTTTTGAATTTCAGACTTCCACTGTTTTTCTTGTAGAAAGAAAATAGTTTATGCATTTAAATTCAAGCTTTCTCTCATTTTACTTATGGATATAAAAACTGTTATAATTGTTGGCTAATATCATTTTTATTATAGTTCCCTAGGTAATATATTAGTCAATGATTATAAATAATCTGAATTGGATAGTTCTTTATAATTAGTATGGTGTATAGTAGAATTCAAGATGGTGACTGGTTTCAAGATCACTTTGATCACACTGCAAAGGAATACTGAAAGTAGCCTGGTGTTTGCAATCACGTACAACTTAAAAATGATAAGTGTGTCCTCATGAGATATTTTTACCTGGAATGTACTAAAAACAGTACTTGAAGCAGAAAAAAAACTTTTATTTTTAAAAAGATTCGATATCACTGGAATTTTTACTATCAACAAATTTTCAGTTCTTTTGGAACTAGAACTTTTTTCATAGTAACTTTCCAAGTAAAGGTTTTACAAAACTTTTATTTAAAAGCTCTGTCGATTTCGCTAAAAAGTCTATCTAAAAAATGACTTATATTCTTTGTTACTCAAACATATGACACATTAGATTCATGTGTAATTCGTTTAAGACAAGTTATAACTTTAATCTAATCCTGATTACCGTTTATTTTTTATTTAACGGATTTATTTTAAGAACTTGAATGAATATAAGTTAAACTTTTACTACAAGCCTGGAATTTAATTACAAAAAAGTTCCTTAGAACTGTTATTTTAAGAAGTTTTTTCCTAAAAAGTTTTACAGAAATGGTTAAAATAGAACTTTTTAAAAAAGTCTTATGAATGTTTCAACCCCTTACTAAAAGTGTTTTTTCTTATTTTGTGTTATTCCATATACGCACTCAACTATAGATAATATATAAAGTTATTATATTGATTTTTAGTTCTACAGTTTAGGTATTAGTAAAATGTGTTTAAAATATACATAATTTTTCATTTTACCACTATTATCTGAATACAAGCTTCGTAATTGTAGAGTTTGCTTAATATTCTTAAAGAATACAGCCAGTGGTGGTTATCATTGATCAAAAACATAAAAATTATGTTTATTTCATTATGTATTTCCAGGAAGGCTGAGGGAGTGTATGTTATGATATACAACTGCTCAAATATTTTTATATTGTTTCGCACTGTTATTTATTTATATATAGAAGTGAAAGGGGTGGGGACCTAATTTAAATAAACGTAAACATTCTGTTACGAATGGTTGGAAATCATTTGTCTATATCTAATTTTGGATACACTCAGGTTTTATCGTGATTTCACCTTTAATATGCTCAAAGTGATATTGAGAAAACAGTCACCATATTGGAGTAGCGATTTAAACTTGCACCATAAGTTTTAAAAAAATATATTTTAAAATTTTATTAATAAAAACATCCTTTTCTGTTCTACAAGAGTGAATCTAATATAATTAGTAATTATTTTTTATAAATTTATTGATTAATTATTGTACACGAACCATACTTTTAGAATTTTTCAATTTAGTTTCCTGCAACCAATTTTGAAACTTTGATATTCCTTGATTTTTTAGGTTTTTTTTTGTAAAATTTAAAAATTTGGTGTTATCTTTTTTTTTTTAGTAGATACCTTATTTGATTCACCCTTGTAGTTACCAATATATGACTCTACAGATTTTGATAATTTCTGAAAACGCTATACAAATCTGGCTTCTTATCTTTAGTGATTTTCTTCCTATTTCACAACCAGTTTTCAAACTACAAACTACACGATCACTGCTGCTCTCTTTATATTTTAAATGACTTCATGTTTTTCATTGTTCCATTAACATGAGTTCATTATAGTAAACAGAAAGTGATATCTTGTTCAACATCCTCTATAATGAATCTTTTAATTTTAATTTTATTTCTTCCTCAAAATGTTTCAATCTGGTAAAAAAAAAAAATGTATACAGTTTGTTTTATTACTTGTTTAAACATTTCAGAGGCTCTCTTAAGCATCTAAAATTTAATAAAACCATTAAAATATCTAAAATATTCCCCAATGTTTCAATTAAAGTTTGTTTAAGAATTAAATTTATTTACATAATCTGTTATAATAATAGTGTTGAAGTTTTCTTGAGTAAATCTAAGTTTAATAAAGTTTTTGTTAATGAATGAATTACCTTCTCAACCCTTATTTTACAGAATGTTCATTCATAAGCCAAGATGGAACAAAAACTTATCTGAGAATACTGCAGGTTTTTTTTTCTTGGTATAATGCACTGCAACCATGGGGTCTATGGTCTATGCACCATGTTATAAACCATTTTATGTTAAAATGCTAGTTTAGTCACTTCCACGTATCTTAATAGAATTATAGGGTTTGAGTCTAACACTCGATACTCCCCGAACAGCTCGAGCTTAAGCCTAGCAATTCTATCACACTGACAAAATTGTTTCGTTCTCATCATGACAGAATCTACATACTGGATTCCTAGTCAGTCTGAGATTGTGCATGTGATAGTTTAACTTACAGTGTCCAGTATAAATCTCTGAAAGCTTTTTAAGTGCTGCTGTTTCTAAACTGAGAAGGAGATTACTCCTTCTTATTTTATTTATTTTTTTCTGTTATTCCCTACCTAGTACAGTATGTCTTGGGCAAAAGGACAAGTTGTCAGTAGTTCAGATTAAAATAGTGAAGCATTGGCCAAGGGAAATTATACTGGAAGTTGTTATATAAGCAAATTTATTGTTAAAATTTCAATTGCAATGATCTGGTTCAATATAAAAAAATAATCCATGAGATTGGGCAATTTTGTTAATGTTTTAGTTATTTTATTGTTTTTATTGAATTTTATTTGTTAAAGAGAGGAGCAAAGCATTCCCTAAATGTTCAAATAATATTAAAAAAACTAAACACTTTTTTTTTTTTAATTTTGATCTGTGTGCAACATTGTCGAGGAGCTATAAAATATAGTGAAGATAGAACAAGAATGTAAAGTAATCAATCAAGAACACTTACTATTTGCTCGGTTATGGTAGATTTAATATAAATTATATACAATTATAGATGTAACAAAAAAAATTATAGAAATAAATTTTTGAAGAAACGGTAAGCTTAAAATATTGATAATAAATATAAAATTCCTTACAGGTTTTTAACCCTATGTGTATATATGTATCATAAAGCATTTTTAAAGTATTTATCACATCTCGATTCATTCACTCATTTTTTTTTTTCATTCATTACAGCACTTGGCTCTTGGCTCCTGCAACGCATATCTCAAAAAAAAATAATCAATCAACATAATTTATGTAACTTAGTCAATTTTATAAAAAAAAAAAAAGACTCAATTTTATTAATTCAATTAGCATTGTTTAGTTTTTGTTTTCTTTTTCATCTTTTTTTCTTCTTTGAGAACTTACAGTTACTTACCTTTATTTACTATTATTATCTTTCTTCTTGTTACAGAACCATGCTGAGGTATTTACTCTATTCTCTTCTTCACTTATTTTTATTCGATTGCACGCTTTTATTTTATTTTTACATATTTTACATTACGCAAAATATGTGCATGGTTTATTGATATTTTGATCATTCGTTGAAGATTTTGAGAATTATCTTAGCTTTTTTTTATCTTTATCTCGCTTACCATGCGCATAGTGAGCGATCTTTTTGAACCTTTTAACGATTTCAGAGGTTCATCTTAGAACAGTGCAACTACACTTTTCTTTTTCTCTATTTTAACCAAACTGCTAGGATTTATTGATGATTATGGTTTTTACATTGAATAATTATTACAATAGTTAGAAAATAAATTTTAATTAATATAGTTAAGCTATTTTGATTTTTTTCTTTTGTTGTTTTTTTTTCTTGTTTTTTTTTTTTTTATATAGAGCATTATAACTTTACCCTCATTAGACCAGGAGGCTTCAATTAATTTAGAAATCGGTTTGGTTAAATCTGTCTGAAGGTTTGCATGTTTGATTTGACCACTTATGTGGATTTACTACAACACCTTTAGAATTCTATGCATGAATGGTTTGAAGTGATAGATCTGAGCTTTATTTCAAAATCGATAAAACTTTAAGGAAGTGAAAAAAAAGAAGTGGTTTCTGTAGATAGGATTTTTTTTTTTGTTTTAAATGGAATTTAAATACAGTAGAATGCTGATAAATTAAATCTAACTGATTGTTATGAATAATATTATAGTTTATACAAATCGAGTAGAGTGGCTCATTTCAAGAGCGGTTTAATCATCAGGAAAAAGTACTAATGATAATATCAATTTATTCCACTCCAATTTAATAAAAATTGGAAAACAGAATGCAGTCAAAAAATATAACTGAACAAATAAATAGAAATATGAGGTAATTATAGCTGAAGTGGATAAAGTTTATGAATTATTCTTTTGAGATAATTGCTATTTAAGTTCATTGAATCCTAATTAAAATTAATTGAATCCTATTGTTTTTATAGGATAATTTTATTTTTATTGTAATGTGATGACTAACTTAAATGTGAATCATACATTGATTATTAAAAAAAAATTAAGGTGGCTTAATCAGTTATTGTATACCGATCAATTTATATTTTTGTGCAAAATAAGAGAAATATGTTGCCTATATTATTAGATAGGTTAATGTATCATGCAAGTTTAATTCTTTTTCGTCCTTCTCACCAACTCACTCGGGTTCAAGGTGAGTACCAAATCAGTCCAGATCCATGGATTATAGCTGCTTAGAGTCATCAGGCGTGTGAGCACCTAATTCTTTCTCCGAAAGAGGCCATCCATGGACTAAACCTCTGCGGATATACTAACATTCTGGAAATCCGCATCGCGATTCCTGACTAAAGTACGTGCGATTGGTGTGAGTTGTATCCAGTAGTCAACATTATCATTATTGTTAAATGGTATATGTTTCTTTTAATACTATTCCGATTTTTTTCTTATCTTTTCTTTTTTTTTGTTGGCATTGCAGACAACATAGATCTCTTGCCGCCTAAACACGCCTACTCCATTTCTGCCTGTCATGGGGTGTTTCTTTCCATTTTTCTACACGCAGCTCTATTGCATATTTGTTGATTCTGTCTATATATCTACTTTTTGGCCTTCCACATGGTCTTTTGCCTTCTATTGAGGCATTCATTGTTATGTAGAGGCTTCCAGATGGTTTGCTACTAGCTACATACCCTGCCCATTTTAACCTTTATAACATATTATTAGCTTTCATATCATGGGATATTAAATGACCAGTTTCTAAACTTTCAAATATGATTTTTTTTTCTCAGCTATTTACTGAAGCATTCATAACTCCTTAAGATTTTCAACATTTACAGAACTATTGGAAAGTTGAATTACTGTTCTTCTAACCTAAATCAATAACTTTTAGATTTCAAATAGAATTATGATCTTATTGGGTATGCTTTTATTTGTATGCATATTTCTTATTTTAGGAGTTTCCATTACATGCAGACAAATAAGAGATAAAAATATAACTTGGTTAGTTTATGTTAAACAGCTGTTATGATAAAGTGAACAGCTGTTACAATAAATTTTCCTAAACATGGCGAATGAATATTTAAAGTAAATAAATAATTTTTTTTTTCTCAATAAAAATTATGATGAAGCTATACTGACCTACTCGGCATAGTTTAATGAACTTTCAGCATTCTACTGTATTTTCTTCAATTATTTTCATTAAGGAAAAGAGAATTATGGTTGCCTTACACCTAAAAATAATGTTGAAGCTTGCTTCTTTCCATATAACATTACATTGTAGCCACTAGTATATTTTGCATTTAATAGTTTATTCTACTTAGGAGAAGGGGTTTGGGGAGAATTCTAGGAACTGGTTTTTGGAAGTAATCATTATATCTGTTAGTGATTACTATTATTACTAATTTCATGTAATTGTGAAAAATAACAATTACTGTTTTCATTTTATGGGTTGAATTATAGCTTAGATTGGAGAGGTTTTCTATGTCGAATCAACAAGGTTCAAACCCTTAGCATAAACTAACTTTTATTTTAGTATGGAATAAATTATTTCGCAGTGGTTTGTTAAGCAGTTTTTGAACGTACTTGACAAAATTAATATGAATATCTGCCATTAGTCTGAAAGAAGAGACCTTGTTCTAATCCCATTTTATATATCTTCAAATCAAGAATCTGGCATCTTTACCACTGTTCACCAATATGGGCTTTTGCGATTCTAATTTTTTAATAATTTTCTTTTCTATTTGTTGATTTGGAAACATAAATTATTTCGATAATATAATATATGTATTTTTATTAAGCAACAACCTTTACCAGTTTTGGCATGTTTGGTTCATGACCGGTCTATTTCAGTCAATCTTTTTTTTTTTATTAGTATCAACTGAACTTCTGCATTTATCATTTTTTTTTAATTTACTTTAAATAAAATATATAAATTTATTGCTGTATTAAGATAAATATTATTTTTTTCAGAATGTACATATGAAGTTAGAGCTGGCTCTTGACGAAGACAGTATCTTCTACAAACTTGGAAGCTCTGGGTTGATAACATTTTCCGATTATATATTTCTGCTAACAGTGCTATCAAGTAAGCTACGTTTTTCTTTTAGATTCTGGTTTGAATTTATAAGTTTAGTACAATTATCTTATTGGTACGAGGGAAATAATTAAAATAAAAATGTTTGGTCTTTTTCAAATTTTGATTCTTATAAAGGGTGGCGACCGACCTGGAAAAATGGGAAAAGTCAGGGAATTTAAGCTTATAAATTGACTATTTTTTGAGCTTTAATGAATAGGGAAATACCCCCAAAAGACAGGCTACCTCATTAGAAAAACTATATGCTGTTTATGTACATATAAACTAATATTTAATATGTAACGTATGAAAATATTGATAATACATCATTAATAAAATATATTATTAATATTTGTATAAATAAAATATATTATTATATTATAAAAGTACTATTACTTTAGATATTGAAATATATACAGCTCAGAAAAAAAAAAAAAAAAAAATATATATATATATATATATATATATATATAATATTTTATTTATATTTAAGTTGTTTATTGATATAGTTCAATTCAAATATAATTTAATAGTCATTGGTGATCCATGTATTATTACTAGTGCAAGAATTGAGTCTCAATTACAGTAGTGTCTAAGTTCAAAATATTGTTTTGTTTTGAAATTTTTTGACTTAATTAGAAAAAAAAAGTATTCAAATAGTCTAACAAGTATCAAATTTGTTTTCATTCTCACAATTTAAATCTAACCAGATGCAGGAATTTTTTTTAGATTTTTTTTTGCTAGACCTACAAGAAGCATTAATTGTTTTGCTTAATTTCAATGAATGTAATTGATTTGTAAGAAATTATGATTAAGTGGAATGGCGACAGAATAATTACATTTTTCTAATTTCTATAAGGTCTATTTGTACTGACTTATACATCAGGAGAAGAGAAAACATTTCCTCTTATTTTTTCTTTTATTGGGAATAATAATATATATATATATATATATATATATATATATATATATATATATATATATATATATATATATATATATAATATATATATATATATATATATATATATATATGTACAGATTTGGGGATTCCTAATCTCGGTTGATAACAAGGTTTTTAATTGTAGAAAAATTAATTAATCTTATTACCAAAATTAAGGTTTATTACTACTTGTTCTTTATTGAATTCATTCTAGTGTAAGATACATAAAATATTTTGTTATGTTGTATCCGAACATGTCGTAATCCACTTGATACATGTTAGCCAAATCGTAGAGTAAATCAAAGTTGAGCTGCTGGTAGTAATGAGGCAAGAGGTTTCTTGTTCTGCCTTTTTCGTGTACTAAGTAATGGATCCTTACTTTAGTTGGGTTCAGTATGTCTTCAAGACCAGCCCGCTTGAGTATGTACTCTTGATCATCCAGCAGTGTTTCCAGCTGGAAAAAAAAAAATGAGGAATAATTGGTATTAAACTATTTTAGTTGAAGAGAAGGATGGTTTGTTTGATCAGTCAAAATAAAATAGTAAAAATAAGTAATAGTATTTATTTTCACATTTACCGACGTTTCGGCCCTAAGTTTAGGCCTTCATTAGGGCTAAGAAAATAACCAGATGACAATAGGTATAAGAAACTATAAACATTGATTAATAAAGAATTAAAATTTTAAAAAATGAAAGGTATAGACTAAAAATTTAGGTAGAAAACTTAACATAAAATGAAGTATTTAAAGTGAACATCAAAGTAAAATAAAGTAGGTAGAATAATAAAATAATTAATTTTAAAAACTATTAAACTGTTGTAGTTTTAATTTAAGAAGTGTAAAAGTTATTAATTTTTAAAATGAGGATAGTTATGAAATGAAATGAAAATATATTTTATTACTCTGAGACTGTTGTCCCTTTAGAACAAATTATAAGTGCTAAATTCATGTATAAATGGTCAAATAGAGTAGATGTTTACAATATGGTTATTTAAAAGGAAAAATACGGAATGCAAACGGAGAAAACTAAAGTAACAGAAATATTTTCTGAGGGTACTTAGATAGCTCTTTTAGGTATATATCGTGATCAAGGTAATTATAGTCAAGATGTTCAAAAATAAATTTATTTGGCATTTATATATTTTATTTGAACTGAAGACCTGAAGGGGGAGGTTATTTTGGATAAGAATTCATTTCAAAATTTATTTATTCTTACGAAACTTAAATATCTATCAGATACTTTAATCATAAAGTTTCTTTTGTCAAAAAAATTGATGAAACACTTATTGATTCTTAAGTATTTGGATCAAAACGAAAAATTTGAACAATTATACAAATAGCAAGTTCTATTTTATTCCATTTGCTTTTCTTTATGCTTCCATGGTTGTTTGTTTATTTCTCTGTTCTGTGATATTGTTTTCTTCATTGATTCCATTGTAATTTTCTTTCCCTTACCAAAGTAATAAGTTTTTCACAATCCATTTTTAACAAAATCAAGTTCAAACAAATAGGACAAATTTCGCATGAAAACTGATGTAAAAACAAAATATTTTGACCTAATGGAAAAGTCATAACAATTTTTAAAGCTATTCATGGTCATTCTGATTGACCCTGTATTATTAAGATTGATGAACCTCACTGACGGATTTCCTGAAATTCTGAAATCTTAACTGTAATCAGGAGAAGTGGAGAGGAGACTATCCTCTCATAACCTATGTATACTCCTAATTGTCATTTAAAATTAATATTATTTCATATCTCTGTATTTAATATAGTTAACCTTTCATCTTCAGATTAAAAATAATAATATAATAATATACATAATATATAATAATATAATAAAATAATAATAGTTAACAGAACAAAAATGATGCCAATCTGACTGATACTTGTCGTCCTGATTGATCGTGTGTAAGCGCTGCCTGAGGCTTGAGGAAAAGTATATATTTAAATATATATTTCCATTTAATATAATACTTTAGATCTCAAATTTAAAAAAAAAAATTAATTGTGATTTTAGTATTATGTATAAATAATTATTTGAGTAATTTAATTATATGTTACTCTCTGAATTTCCTGTATTTAATTCTTTTTACATACCTTCACAATGACAGTGAAATTGATCATGCAGGGTGTACAGAATTGATTTGTCGTTCCCCAGAACTCATCTTCCTTATTGTCGAGTACATACTTGACAAACTCCATAAAGGTCGGCGGCGTTTTAGTTCCACTCTCTGCAAAAGGCATATTCTTAATCCTCTTTTTTAATTTGCTATAATACCTTTCGTTCTTAGGTTCGATGAGACTGAGATACGTCGACAGCAATCTCTCAAGTGGATCACGTACTATTATAAACGACAACGAACTTCGAAGTGCAGATTGGAGCTGGGAGAGAGTTGGAGTGGGAAACTTTGCTCTTAGGAGTGTCATCGGGCTCTTCTTGCTCTTTCTTAAGAATCCTTCGTTGTAGCCCCCTGGAGAGGAATTATTTTTGGTTTATGGATATAAAAAAAAAAAAAAAAAGACATAATTCTAAAATATACAGAATAATTATATAGGGACTTTGAAAAAATAAAACCTAGAATGTTGAAATAATGAACCCAGGTATCGCTTGCTGCTTTGTGAACTTTGCACCAAACGAGGGAGTGGTGCGCATCTATGATGTACTCCCAAACCTTCGGCTTCTGGTTCTGTATTCTAAACTTTTGACAAGTGCTGAAGAGGAGTTCTCTTCTGGATGCCATTTCTTCTTCCATCGCGTAAAGATCTATTCCTCTCTCCTCAAAGCCCTTTATCTAGAATAAATAATCAGCTTTATTAAAATATTGTAATATTTATTTTAAATATTCATACCCATTCAGTATTGAACTGCAAATCAGAAATAAATATTATACATTTATTATAATTAAAATTATTCGGTGTTTCAAATAACATTCATTTTTTCATCATATATTTTATTATTTATAATTTCTTTTTGACATTTCAGGTCAACAATCCCCATATTCAGAACCTTCTTTATAAAAATCATGAATAATAAATCCATTTAAATATTATTTGCACTATTATTATTTTTGTATAATAATATTTCAGATATGCATCTTGTGATAATGTATTCCTAGAGATGAGTCATAATTAAAGTCAATAAAAGTTATGTCATAATATGTACATTAAAATGCATAACAGTAATGCAAAAACACTGTAAATGCATGAAAATGATATATATTATGTGACTTTTTTCATTAAGCGAACCATATAAAAATTATTAACTTATTTAAAATTGATTATTTAATCATGAGCTAATGAACTTTGTTACATAATTGTTTTTTGTAAGTTTCCTAGAGTGAGATTTGTTTTGAACTCTTGGCATTTGAAAAAGTTTTAATTGAGTTTCTACTTAGTGCATTGATTACTTTTAACTAGTCTTGTTTTTAACTATTCAACGGTTTTATAAAACTAAGGTCATGCATATACAGTCGTAGTAATAGAAATTGCATCACATAATGAAAATTTTATTTTATTTACCATATTGTTATTTGCAATATCTCTGAACAAACACCAGAAACACATCAATTAAGCCATCAAATTGTTCATTTGTTTTTTTTTCTCATCCCAGTTCCTTTTTCTGCTCCATAGTGCCCTGAGAAAGTTTTTTTTTTTTTTTTTTTTTCAAAACTATGATTACTATTGATTTGTGTACCCTATCCTCGTCGCTATTTCTCATGAAAATTACTTCACTTCATATAACTTCTCAATTTTAATATTTTCTCCCAAAGACAGTTTTTCGAAACCGGTCTTAATTACAGCTGTTATCTTGGCATTAGTTAAGAGACTGAGCTTATAAAGATTGTTTAAGTTTTCTTGTAATATGAATAAATAAAAATAAAAACATTCAAAGGAATCAATGTTATCAACATAAGAATCAGAAGAAATAGGTGATGAATTTCTATGACCATGACTGTATTTATTTCTAGCTAAACTGCTGGAAAAAGATATTGTAATATAAATTTTTTTCAGCAATTTATTTGTTGTGTATTAATAATTTTTTAAAAAAAAAACTTTAAATTTATCTAGATTTGAAACAAATGATGAATTTCAAAAATATATTTATTCTATTTTATACTTAACTATTTTCCAAGTTACGTTTTTGTTTCTAATGACTGCTGTTTTCCTCGCTGGCATGGCATTGTAGGTGAAATACACATAGAGTAATGTGAACATAAGAAAACTCAAAAACTTAGCAAAGGAGCTTATTCTGACTTTGTAAAATCTGAAACTACTTGACGACATATTTTTTAGGGTTTTTTAATGGTATATGTATATGTTTATATTTTTTGCCTTTAGAGGTGGTTATTTGACGGTTTCGTTTGGTTTTTCTTTACTTGAATTTTTCTTCTTCTTCCTGAGAGACATCTTGAGGTTAATTTTGAAACCACCTTTTACTTTGGTGTAGACCACATCTATGAGAATTGACTTCATCCTGTCATAAGGTGTTCATTCCCCACACTGAGCTCTGAGGCCTGGGATCCAGGGGTGGGAGAATGCCAGAACAGTGGTGGGGGTATCAGATCAATACCATCCAAATTCAACATCGCTTATATTGAAATATCTTTGATTTATTTATTTTTTTAATTTTATAACAAAAAAGAAATTATTTATAAATTTTAAAAATTAATATTATGATTTACATTGATTATAACATTTCGAAAATATTTTTCAATTATTCTTTATCACTTGAAATTAAAAAAAAAATGATTTAATGTATAATAACTTTTTTTTTTCATATAAAGCAATATAATAAAATATTTATAATGTGTATGAAACTAATACTACATTAAAATTAAGATAAGTAAGGTTTTTTTTTTTTCTCTCTTTCCTTCATACATTTTTATATAGGCTGTATATTTGTTAATTTATACATGCTATACGTAAAAAGGATAATAATACACAGAGCATAATTTATATATCCACTTAAGGAAATTATTAAAATAAGTAATAAGAGACAGTAGCGAATGAATGATTTAATTTTGGGGAGCCCTTTTATTTTATTCATTTTTTTAGCAGTAATTACTCTCAAAGAAAAAATCTGATGTGCACAACACACAACTTTCTACTTTGAATAGAAATTATTTTCTGGGAATGTTGAGCAATTATAAAATTTTTGAAATGCACTTTTAACGGAGCTATAGTTTAGAGTTTACAATTAACAAATCATTAACACCATTAAAATAACAAATATCCTATTTATTATATCAACGATAAACAATAAAAACCTCGGTATTCCTTCTGTTTTTGTAAACCATTTAACTCCAGTCTCTGAGCAATATATATATATATGCCTAGAGAGATTTGAAAGTATATCTCTATATTCAACCTATAAATGATTATCTATTAGTTATCAAACTGTTATTTTCCATTGTAAAGTTTAGTACAAAGAAATTACAAGATTTTGATTGCCTGCCACAAAGGGAAAATTCATCAAATTATTCACTAATTTAATTTTTTAAAAGGTTGCATGACGATTTATCAGAATAAACGGACGTTGATACTTAATTATTCAACTATAATATCAGATCTATAATTATTAAACTACAGTCAATGTATTTAAGATTATAAAGATATGCTTTATATATCCATAAAATATTTTTATATTTCACTTCTTCTTTCACATAAGTACTATGAAATAGTTTTGTAAACATTGCCATTGCCTTGATCAGGTGGATTTTAAATACTTTTTTTCAAATTTAAAAAAAGTTTACATTTAGTTATTCAATTTCACTTAATTTCCTTGAAAACATGTTATTAAACATGTTGAAAAAAGTTTAATAATATTAGTTTTCACTAATTATTATTTATAATTTTTCGTCACTCTCTGTTACTTTCTACGACTTTCTATATTAGATATTGTTTTTTCTAACATTATCCGCTTTCCAATCATATATTATACCATATACCTTCTGAATAGTATTTCTGGAAATTCATTTTCAATCTAAATAAACATTTTATCCATTTTTCAATTATCAAATTCTTTCAAAAGTTATATTTAGCATTTTTTCCTAATTCTTAATAATGAGAGATGGTTAGTTATTTAAAATAAACCTAATTTAAGTTACTTTAGAGGGAGACATGTTAAGCATTTAAGCCCTGTTAAGTGATATAAATGGGGATAAGACCTAAATGATATTAAAGACCACTTAATTATACAATGATACACCGAGTTTAATCAAAATCATTGGTGTCGTTTTTGAGAAAATTGTAAAAATGTGTATAACCGTTGATATAAAGTGCCACTTCCTGTTAGTCGATTTTAATCAAAAATTTGCTGTGACATCCAAGGCATACACATATATTAAATATGTAGTATCAGTTTTGTAGGACCTTTCGTTATTTAATTAGACCTACCACATACATACACGGAGACCATTTTGTGGGACTTGGTTATTTAGACTCAGGGTAGCTCAAAAGGTGTATTTCCATTGAATACCCAGATTCGAAAATGTTCACGATCGCAATACTTACCCTTACTATATATTACATATTCAGGTAAGTGAAAATAATATAGAAAAACATTATTTTTCTATTCTGAGTGGACTTTAGCCCAAAGTGGTATCTTTTAGACTTAACACGCACGGTACAGTATAGTTCCAATGGAACAATAGTATGTCTTAATGTTCCCTTGGAAATCTTTTAAATACAATATACCCTGCCTCAATCTGTCTAGTTTTGAAACCTTACAAATTTTTAAATCTCTCTATTGTATAAAAAAGTTTTTAGTGAATTTCATATTTTATTTTATTTTAGTATTAGGAGAGTAAGAGGATTACAGGAGCTCTCATATTAGCTCTCTAATCAAAACTAATTATACAGCCATTCGTTTACTTACATATGTTTTGAGCTCCTGTAACCTCATATTCTCCTGATATAAAGTAGAGATTTACACCCTGGCGTCTTTGTTATCATATTGAGTTCTTGAGTGTCTTTGTTATCATATCATATTCCTGTAACCTGATACTTTCCTATTACAAAATAAAGATTTTAGTTCAAAAATGTGTATGGAAAATGGTATTAATCTGGAGGTGGTGGTTTGATTTTACCTAGGTGACAACAGTTATTTTTCAATCTAGATATTTTCCCCTTGATTACAATTTATTAATTATTATGAAATAGAAAAGTACAATTTATTAATTATTATGAAATAGAAAAGGAAGCACAATATAACATACAATGAAAATTTTAGAAATAAAAGATTCAAAATGATGTTGGGCTTATATGAAACTGGTCACATTGAATATATTATGGTTACAAATTGACAGTACAAATGATTAATAATTAATAATAAATTGGCAATAAGGCACAATGTATAATATAGATTTTTAAAGAAATTAAAAACTTGCCTGAATCGTGACTTCGTTCAGTTTATTTTATGTTGATAAAAAAATAATAGAATCTGAACTACAGAATTCATGTAAAGTACATTTATACAATTTGAACGAGTAGTACAATTAAATGAACATTTGCATAATTTGTAAAATGGGGGTTGTTCCGCCTAGTGACTTTTATTTTCAAAATGCATTGCTTCTGAGAGCTAGAAAAGGGATCTATACCACCATTTATATATAGCTTAGATAAAAACATTTTTTTTATGTTGAATACTTGATGGTTGACCATGGTATAGTATTGAGTAAGAAGATGGTCTGGGGTGGCGATCATCAAAAGAATAAAATAGTAAAATAAACAATTTTTTTAAAGCCAATGTTTAGAACTGACTTTTTACCAACCTTTTGACTGAAGTTTGACTTTAAATAAAATAGTTTTATTATTATTATTTTAGTATTTTTATGACCACCACCCCGGACCATTTTTTTTTTTTTTTTAATAATAATTTCATTTTTAAATTCTATTTATTCTTATTTATTAGACAGTCTTTTCATTTACTTTATTTTATTAATAAAATACTTATTCTTGCACAGCTTCCAGGCGCCATTTCGAGATAGCCTTTAGAATGTTTGATCTTAATGGAGATGGTGACGTCGATTGTGAAGAATTCGAGAAGGTTGCAACTCTTATCAGGTTACAGACAAGCATTGGTAGTAGGCATAGGGATCATGCCAACACTGGAAACACCTTCAAGGTCAATATGGATTAATAAATCCAGTACTCTTGTTATTTTTTTCTTCTTTTCTTTTATAATTTTTGAATTAATTTATTTTTTTTCTATTATAGGGAGTGAATTCTGCGCTTACAACCTACTTTTTTGGCCCTAATCTCGATCAAAAACTAACAATTGAAAAGTTCCTTGAATTTCAGAATCAACTTCAGACCGAAATTTTAAGTCTTGAGGTATGCCTAATTGTATTCAATATTTCATTATCTTAAATACATTATTACAATTTTATATTCTTTTGGTACAATCCAAAATCCTTCGTAAAATCCTCAATGCTCCCTACTTTGTCACAAATAAAATCATCCATAACAACCTTAATGTACCATATGTTTCCGATTTAGCTCAATCCAGATACCTATCCTTCCATAATAAACTTCTGAACCATCCGAACCCTCTTGTTTCCAACCTTGCTTTCTCTTCTATTCCTGCTAAACCTCCGAGGCGCCTGAAAAGTAGATGGCCTCGGGACCCTCTAATATAGAAATATAATTGGAGTGCTACCAATGGGTAGTTTCTCTTCATGTAACTTATTTCATATTTGCTAGTTGTATTTATCATTAAATACAGTTGTAAATTTCAATAATAAAATAAATTGAAATTATTAATTTAAAATAAAATACTTACTAGTAGGATAAATTCAATTACTTTTAACGCCACAATGTAGTTAAAATAATTTTATCAACACTTTTCGACTTAAAATATTACCATAACACTGATAACAGCCTTCTTCATAAAGAATTCACTTACTAATTAGAACTGAATTAACTTTTCAATCGTATGTATTTTCAACTACTAATAGCTGCTCATACTATATTCTGAACTCTCTCTCTTTCAATGCGAGCTGGACTATTCACTCGAGTCATCAGGCTGGTTGAAAACCTGAAGTTAATCATCTAGAACTTTCTCCTTATTTTTATAACTTTCAATTTACATAAATATAATTTATTAACATACAAAACTCAATCCATTATCTTGTTTATTCATTTATATATATATATATATATATATATATATATATATAATATATATATATATATATATATATATATATATATATATTTTTTTTTTTTTTTTTTAGTTTCTGAGGAAAAATCCTAATGACGAAGGAAAAATTACTGAAGCTGATTTCACAGAACTTCTTTTAGCATATGCTGGTTATCCACCAAAAAAGAAATCTAAAATGCTGAAGCGGGTGAAGAAAACGTAAGTTATATTTGTTTATTATATCAAATTACTTTATTGTACTATATTCTATATTCTAGCAATATTGACTGAATTGAGTGTAAGTTTTGTTAATGTTGCCGTACAAGATCATTCCATCCTTCCAAATGGATGGATGTTACACCGTTATCGTATCGTCTGTGAGGAAATTGGTGTGGACGAAGTGAACTTACAGGATTATGTGGATATCCTATCAGTTTGGTCCATCATGTCATCAAACCAATTGATAGTTTGTTTGGAAAATTACAATTGCGATCAGTCCAAGCAGTACAGTTGCTTGACTTGACTGGGTCATCATTGTATGATTTCTTTATTGTTGTGAATTTTGTAAACACGTATATATATATTTAACCTGCCCTAAAGGTGATCAAGTACTCTTGAACACCTTCAATGTCCTTGATGATGACCAACAAACTTGGGTTAAAACGTTTGTAATGAAAATCTTGGAAACTGACTGCATCCTGATTATCTATCACAGTCTTATTACTGGAGTAATATTTTATATTGCTTACCAAGTTACATGGTTAAATTCTTAGGAAGGGAACAAAAAGTGAATTTTGGGTTGTTATGGAGAGAAGAAGGAGTTGTTCGAAAATTAAGATAGTAAAATTATTATGATACTGTCCGTAAGATGATAAACGATCACTAGTGTATAAGAGATCTTGTGAGTGTTTTGAAATAATTTGGGCTCAAAACACTGGCTGGTTATTGTTTAAAATGTGTTTAATCTAAACATTAAAAAATGTAAGTAACAAATTTTTGAAGGAACGGTTCAATAAATTTTTATGTTAAAAATTATTGTAGTAGTCAGATGTCTTCCATAACACATTGTGGCTCCAAGCAAGTAGATTTTTTCTCATGCACTGGTGTATGTCAACGTACGAAAGACTTAAGTTTTGCATACTACCCTACTATTACACTAGCGGATCCAGGAGTTAATTTTAGGTGAGAGGGGAGAGAGATTTCTGCCTGAAAGCTTTTTTTTCATGTATATAACGATAATTACTTTGGAAAAAATAAAGATACTAACTACATGAAATAGTGTTTAAGTAATTCTTAAAGTACTATTAAATGTAATTACACGAACCATAATACTTGAAGAGATAATTTTTTTATATTTTTTACCATAAAGCATGGTTACATTTTACCATTTTGTGGGGGGGGTGGAGAGGAGGGGCTTCAGTCCGAAAGCCCTCCCTGTAGATCCACCTGTGGGCTATTACACTAGGTTTAAATAATATAGATACCATTTTCTCTAATAGTCTACCCAGATGTTTATCGTGTACGCATTCTCCTAGAATGAATAGAACTATTTCTGTTTTTTTTTTAAATTAAATTATTTTTTTATGTTTGAAGTTATTCACATCAATAAACGAAAAAACTTTTCAAATAGTTAATATTTATTTCTAGGTTTAAGGAAAGCAGTCAAGGCGTCAGCCAGGAGGACTACCTGAAATTCTTCCATTTTCTCAACAATATCAATGATGTTGACACAGCATTGACATTTTATCACATTGCTGGAGCATCCATCGATCGAGGTATATCTTCGATTTTGTTACATTTTATGTTTATGATCCTACCTCATGTACTATACTTTCCTAATATACTCCATTATTTTTCCCTGCTTTAACCATGTTTTTCTGGTGTTTAGAGGGCTTAGGTTGGGCTTGAGGTGAGATAATTTCATTAGGTTCACCTTCAGATTATCTTATTTAACAAGTATGCTAAGTTATGGTGGTTTTATCTTGGTTCCCAAGAGCAATTACTCATTCACTTTTTTTTTTCTTTTACGAGTTCTTAAAACCAAAAGCTACCCATCACAAGCCTCCTCCTTCAATTACGATACAAATTAATCAATTGAATACTTGCATGGAAAAAAAAAATGTCTGAATTTGAGTCGCAATAGAATTCTCACTATAAAAAATTTATATAGCATTGGGATCAAACTTTTTTAATTAATAAAAAAAAAGGTTCATATTTAGCCAAAAACTTAAAATAACAAAGCACCTTGGAAGTTTGATGGGGACTAGGGAGTATGGCCAGAGTCCACTATGTTTGTTGTGTACGGCAGCCAAACATGATACTGTTAAAAGTCTCTCAGCTCTATTTTTTTAACAAACATTCATAAAATCTAGTAAAATAGGTTTTAAACTAAACTGAAAGGAAAAAAATAGAAAAATATTCTTGGCTGAATAGTTCGTGGTTCAGACCTCTTTTTATCAAATTAATAAAATTTCTCTAAAACTCCATAAACAGTTTTATTTTATTGTAGTGCAACTTTCAAATGTGAAGGTGAAGAAAAGTAAATTTTTTTCCTAAGAATAATAATAATCAACAATATAAATTTCATATTTCTGATATAAAATGAAAAGAAATAATTAAATTATAGAGTTATGTAACCTTATAATTAAAGGATAACCATACGTAAACTTATAAAATTATAGATAAATCAATATCATGTACTTATAAGCAACATGCATAATACTATATTATGTATTAAAGTTGTCTATATATGTGAAATAACGTATTACTACACACATAGTAGTACACAGACACACAGACCATTTTGCGGGACTTGGTTATTTGTACTCAGGGGACCACAAAATGTGTATTTCCGTTGAAAACCCAGATTCAAAAATTTTCATGAGTGCAATACTTTTCCTTGCTATATATTACGTATATTGGTAAGTGAAAGTAAAAATTCATGCATGAACCCTATTTGTATAACCTCTCTCATGGTATTTTTTCTTTTAGTCATATATTTCTCTTTTTTGTTTCAGCTACCTTGAAACATGTTGCAAAAACAGTTGCACATGTAGATCTGAGCGACCACGTGATCAATGTCGTTTTCACTATATTTGATGAAAACAGTAAGTGAAATGTTTTGAATACTATACATTATTTATCTACTGATTTGGAAGTAATTTTAATATATATTATTTAATTTTCAGTGGACGACCAACTGAGCAATCGAGAATTTATATCAGTGATGAAAAATCGACTTCTCAGGGGATTGGAGAAACCAAAAGATACCGGTTTCGTAAAACTTATTCAATCCCTCTTGAAATGTGCCAAAGAAAATAGACCAACGATCCTCGATGTTTAAAAATTTCCAAATCATTTAATTGATTGTTTTGATATTTTGTATGTGTGAGGAATGTTACTTAAAATTTTTATCTCTCAGTGCTGATCTTAGATATCTGATAGTTACTAAGCTGCATATTGTTTTGTTTTTTTTCCTCAAACTATTTCTAATCGTATTGTATATAGCTTTACAAGATACAAAATTATTTATTTTACAAAAAGTAATTATAAATGAACTTTATGTTTGCAGTGGTTTATGAAGTTTTATGTTCTTCATTGAGAAATATTTAATGTTATACAATTGAATCGTTTATTTCTAAAGTGAACTCTAATCATCATTGACGAATATTAAGAAAACACAAAAAAAATATATCTTCTATTCCAATTGTAATATCTAAACCAATATTTAAAAAAATAAATAAATTAAGAAATTATAAAGGTAGGAGATGGTCCGGGGTGACGGTCATAAATAGACTAACTATTGGCAAAACTATTTTATTAAGTGCTAAGTGAGTTCTCAGTGAAATTCCTAGCTGAACACACTTCCCTGAAGAAGACCTGCAAAGTCGGGTCGAAACGTTGGCTTTTAATAAAATAGTTTTGCCACTATTTAACCTATTCTCCTTTCTTTATAATGAAACGGTCAACTATTAAATATTCAAATTAAGAAATTCTTTATTTGTATCACTTATTTCTAAAATTCAGTGATTATTTCAGTAGTAATTAAAAAAATATTGAAACTTAAATAGAACAGCTTTTGGAGAGAATTAAACTTCATGACCAGTTTTTGAACAAAAAAGATTGATTGGGGTTCATTTCATTTTGGAGAATAAAAGTTTGGTATGATTCGGGAAAGAAAAAGTATATAAAAATTGCATTAAATAGTAAACTTTCTGTTTACCGTAATGGTAAAATAAAATTAATTAATTTTTTAATTTGTATATGAACAGTTTTAAAAGCTTTAGATGAATTTTTTGTGTAATAATAGCAAAGAAATGTATTTCTTGTATTAAAAGATCCGTTTTGAAAAAAAAAACAAAGCATTGCTCCATTGGAATCATTTTATGTTTTTCATGGGAATCGGCATTTATCTTTATTTCAAAAAAAATTATTAAGATTCACATTGGATACAAACGATTCAATTTTATTTGTATTTTTGACTTCTTTAACTCTTTACAGCAGTTAATTGCTTGAAGTTTTTGATACAATAGATTCTCATTTATACATTTATTTGGTTGACATAGTATTATATCAAGAAAAATATCCGATAATAAAAAGTAATCAAATTATGTGATTCATATAAAATTCCAAGAGACATGCTGACTTCATTACTCATACTTTTACCTATAGCTTGTCCTAGCAGTGTTGAGAGAACTGGGTGAAATATTCCATCCCGGTAAACTTTAGTAAATCTAGTCTATTTCACCACCCTCGCTTATTTAAAAATAAGATCTATATAGCTGTTGTAACAGCTGATCTACCTGCTATATGTGTTATTAAGCACAAGGCTTCGGAATGACTGGAACATTTATTTTTAATTAGGTTTTTCTGATGGAAATTTTCAATTAAAGCAATTCATTTCACCAAAACGTAAATTAAAAAAAAAATGGCTATTATGCAGTACATCCTTAATATGAAAATCATGCATTCATTCAAGATCGATTATATCTGTAATCTAACAAGCCCAATTACTGCTTGTTTTTCATTGTATATTAATTATTTCAGTGATTCTGTTGTATACTTTCCAGTACTTCCATTATAAATAAATTATTATATTTAAAAAAAAATAGTATCAAAAGTTAATTCTTAATTTTTTTTAATTTTAATTATTTATTAATTTTAAATTCATTTTATTTTATTTCATCAGCATATACATGAACATTATCTCAGTTTAGAATTGTCAGTCAAGAAAATGGTGGACAAGTGAGGTTTGTTTATCATTTTATTAGATCATTATTTTCCTCTTAACTTTAATTTGTTGTTTAGTTGAATGCCAAGATGAAAAATATTAGGTTTTCATCTGAAATTTGATATGCAATGGTAAATTTAAAATATATTTTCTTAATGATTGTATTTGTGCCTTTTGATTTTGATCGTATTAAAATTTTGATTGAATAATGTAAATGGCCCTGTGGATATTTTTTTATATATATGTAAAATAATTTGGAGTTTAGAAAATATTTTTTTTTAACAAAAGGTTACTATTCTTTTCATTTAATTCTGATTCGAACCTTGGCTTGATCATTTAGAGACAATATACATTTTAAGTATTTATATTGGTTTACAGTATTTCTATTTTTTTTTTTTTATTAGTTTCATTATTTTCTTTTTTTTTTTAAATACATAATCAATATCATATATAATTCAAATTTTTCTTGTCAATAATTTGTGGTCAAGAATTCTTTTTGGTTTATATTTTGATTACATTGTTCATCACAAGAAATGACTCTTTTTAAAATCTGCTTTAGAAAAATAAACTTCTAATTATTTTTATAATAAATAAGTAATTATCTGTTTTTCTATCACAAATTTATCAATATTTTTGTTATTGCACTTTTATTCTGTGTTCACATTTTTGAAAAATTAACTTGTAATTAATAATATTAATTTCATTGTTCTAGAAAGGTTAGTAATTAATGTGCTAGTTATAGAAAGCAGCGATGTACAATAATACATTTTTTCTGAGATTTGTATATATTTTTATTGTTTATATAACAATTCTGTAATTGTTCAATTTTAATAACTTTATTTTATTAACAATTATAGCTAATATCTAAAGTTTTCCCAGTGTTTCTATATGCTTGTAGATTATTTATTTGTAAAATATTTAGCTTTGTATATGTTAATTAGATATTGAACAAAAATTATTTATTTATCGTTATTAATATTCAGTCTGTTGTATCTGAATAAGTAAATAAAGTTACCATTTCTAACATCATTTATTTTTGTGTTTTTTAAAACAATTTTTCTCTAACTAATGTACAACATTACGCTTAAAAAATAATTTTGGAGGAGTGCCATACATCAGAAATATATTTGTTTTGATTCCTCCCTTAGGCATGACCGATAATGCTACTATTTTCAGTTTTCAAAAACAATTATTGCTTTATAGTTAAAAACTAAGTAGAGATAATTATTATATTTTGGTATAATAATTTAGCTTTTTTTGTACTTATTAATTTGTTGGAATCAAAAAATAAAATTTTATTCAATTATTTGTGCCCGATAACTTATATATTTGTGTGTAAATATACTAATGCTACATGTGACACGTTATTAATCAATCAAAAACATTTATTACTATGGATGCAAATGCAATAAAAATAGGAGCGTCGTAACTCAGTGAGTTAGGCACTGGGCTGCTTAATCTTAAGGCCACAGGTTTGAATCTGGCTGATATGAAGTAATTTTTCTTCTAACATGGATCAACGCTGGGGTCGGGAAACCCTGTTGTGGCACACTCAGCCTTTATAAAGTAGATACTCTTAATTAATACTACTTTGTAACAAATTACTGAACCCAAAAACCTTCATGGTTATAGTGGTACAAGTTTTTTTTTTTATGTAATAAAAACAAAAATGCTCAACTTTAAAGTTATCTTAAAATAAGTGAATTGTAATGGTTATTTAAAATTCTAATCTTAATCAAAATATAGTAAATGAGATGGATCTAAGTTTTTAAAAGCGAATTCTCGATGATCAGTTTTCTATGGCAGATGTCAAAAAGGTTTGTATTCCTTTTTTATTTTACATTTTTATATGTTGTAAAATTAAAGAATTTGAGATGTTGAAATCGTTTATTCTTAATATAAAGAATACGAATCTCCAGAATAACATTTAAACGGTTCATCGTGGAATTCCTGAATCTATATAAAGTTTTTGCACAAGGACGTTTTTTCAATTGATGCTTATTGAGTAAAATATTCAAATGAAAATTCCAAATAACTGAAGTAATTTTAGAATTTATAAATTTTTTATTTGTTCTCAAAAATTATTTCTTCCTCCCAGTGTTCATACTTATTATTTTTTATAATTAGTCTTTTATTAAATGGTATCAATTAAGACTAATCATTATACTGGATGATTTAGCAACTCATCACAGTTGAGCAGCCGTACAATTTTATTGTGCTTCTCTCTTTAATGAGAGTTAAACAAGAAATTATATCATCTATATTATTAGTAAAGATCTGTTCTTTGTGTATAACATATTTGAAGTGGTTTTTTCAAAAACGATTTTTTTTTTTAAATGCTAGTTTGATGTTTCCATAAAAAAACGTCTGTATTTTGTATTGTTTTTTCTTTTATTATAACTACATGGGCAATGATTTAACAGTAGAGTATTGCTTCTGAAATAAATAACTTTTATTTCATTTAACCTAAAAAGGATAAAATAATTTAATAAATCAATTTATTTAAAAAAAATAGAGTATGAGATACTTTTATTTAATTTGACTTTTCGATTCTTTGTACTCTTTATGAAACTTAAATTCTCATATTTTAGAGCATTGCTATCAGCATTTAAAACCTTTTCACCACAAAAATGCATTCCAGAATGAGAAAGTTCTTACTGCAAAATTTTAATATTCAAAATTATATTAAGTGGTAAAATTATGTCATAGACAAATGCAAAGTCAAGTTCACAGCTTCAAGATACTGTTCAAACAAAATTGTAAGTCTAAGTAACAAAATATTCATACTACAGTAAACTGTAGCTTTGAAGCTCTGTTTCTCGAAATTATAGTAAATGCCTTAGTCTGAACCTTTTCAAACCATGGCAAAAAAAAAATATGAGAAATTTATTTGAAAGCATTACTATCCTGTAATAATTTATTATCTTCAACACCATTTCATATAGTTAGTTTTTGTTTTTCTTTCAGATTAATTACCGTTATAAAAAAAATAAAGAAGTATCTCCCAAAAAAAAAATTTGTATTCTGGATACACTACTTGTTAAAAAAAAAGTATTTATTCTTATTATTATTCAATAGTATATTATGTTTTTGACTTAAGACACAGTTAATTAAGTTAAAAAATAAAATATATATTTAAGTTGAAAAGCAGACACTCTTTTCGTATTTATTTTAATTTAGAAAATACCAGATCTTAAGTTACAGAATAGTAGGTATAACCATTGATTTTAACATTATTTATTATGAAAAAAATATTTCAAACTGATTTTTTTTCAGAGTAAAAAGAATTATTAAGGTCACAATTACCAGATATTTAAAATTTGTAAAAAATAATTTTTATGAAATGTTGAAGTAGTTTTTCATAAAACCGCTAGATGTCGTTAGTATCTACTTTTATTGTGGAAGTCGTATT